AGGAATGGGTTAACCTGCCTGCCTGGCCACCATTGCCACTGCTACTCTCTGTACCAGCTCAGCCAGGAGAAGAGCAGCAGCCTGGCAGCTGGTGCCAGGCAGGCAGGTTAGCCCCTTCTGTGTCTGCTGCCCTGTCCCAAACAGCATGGGCAACCAGAAATAAGCAGTAGGCAGAGGAAGGGAGCCCCAGGGGGAGGGGAGAGGAAACCTTGAAGGGCAGAGGGAGCCCCAGGGGTGCAAGGAAGCTCAAAATGGGGGGTGGGGGGGAGTTACCTTCCATGTCTCCAGGCTCCTGCTCACCTGAAGCGTGACTGCTCCAAACTGGAGCCACCACTAACTTCAGCATCAAAATCCCTGTAGCTCACAGTGTAAGCTCTAACAAGGCCCTTATTTGAACACAGGATTAAAATTAGCAGTTTCCTGAATCAGTTTCAAGGCCCCAAGCCATTTGGCAAAATTCTAATTAAGGGTATGGCTACACTCCAGAAAGGCAAGTTGAATTAGCTTACTCTGAGCTTCATGATGCTTTGGTTAGACTGGCTTACACCCAGGCTAGCTCAGGTATCTCTACAAAACAAGGAAATCTGCAGTTAGATTTACCACAAACTTTATATAGAATTTGTGCTTCTTCATGAGAAATAAGCCAAAAATCTGTTGGTGTGAGGTAGCCATATTGGGGGAGGGGGGTGGGAAGTCATGCTTTGCAGAGAAAACTTACTACGTTCAAATTTTACAAATGTTTAGATATTAACAAAAAATAAGGGAAAAACTTTCTGCATAAGAAACAGGGGCACTTTTTGATTATGTTTAGCATTTGGCAGACAGAGGGCACCCACAGCCTAGACCTGAAGTCTGTCTAGGTACTATTTAGGCCCTTGTTACATATTAATTTTCACAGAATCATAGAAGTAGGGTCAGAAGGGACCTTGTAGATCTTCAGGTCTGACCCCCTGCCTGGGCAGGAGGAAAACTGGGCTCAAATGACCCCAGCCAGGTAGGCATCAAGCCACTTAAAGACCCCCAGGGTAGGAGCCAGCACCACTTCCCTTGGAAGTTGGTTCCAGATCCTAGCCGCCCTTACTGTGAAGTAGTTCCTACGGATGTCTAATCTAAACCTACTCTCTAACAACTTGTGGCCGTTATTCCTTGTTATCCCGGGGGACACTAGGGGAAACAAGGTCTCCCCCAAACCCTTCTGGTCCCCCCTAGTGAGTTTATAGACGGTCACCAGGTCCCCCCTCAGCCTTCTCTTGTGAGGCTGAACAGGTTCAGGTCCCTTAGCCTTTCATCGCAGGGTCTGCCCTGCTGTCCCTGGATCATGTGGGTGGCCCTCCTCTGGACCCTCTCAATGTTGTCCACATCCCTCTTGAAGTGGGGTGCCCAGAACTGGACACAGTACTCCAGCTGTGGCCTGACCAGTGTCGCATAGAGGGGGAGGATCACCTCCTTGGACCTACTTGAGATGCACCTGTGGATGCACGATCCGGTTAGCCCTGCCGACCGTGACCTCGCA